CCTAAACCCTAAACCCTAAACCCTCAACGGGGCACTGACGGATGCCGCTGCTGCAGTGTGACGCACGGCGCCCCCCAGAGACAGCGTTTGGGTTTTCTTTTGCGGCTTTTGTCTAAAAACGGGAATAAAAAGAAATTAAAACCTTAAAATTAGTTTATCTGTCTTTTTGTTCTGCAAAATCGCGGCCAATTCGGCAGCAGCTACGGCGCTGCTGCCTGCGCCAGAAAGCCCAATATGGCCGTCGCGCGCGCCCCTGCAAGGTGTAGAAAGTTGAATAGTTAAAGTGTTAGTTATTTAAAACTGAAGGGAATTTAAAATGTGGCAAATAATGCGGCTTAATTTGGGCTTGGCGGGAGCGGTGCTGAGGTGTACGTACACCCGGACCCTTCGTCGCCCGCGCACTGGCGCCTCCGGCGGAAAGCTGCGTCATTTTGAGCTATTTTTTCGTTTTTCTCTCTCCTGTGCATTTTACATTCTAAATTTCTCGAAGTATGTTCTGTTTGGCGCCAGTTTCCCTCATTTTAGCGGCTGTTTCCCCCGGATCTGCCGCCGCGGCGTTTGTTGCACAAGTGCCGACAGTCAAGCCGGCTTCGCTGAGTCCGCGTTTTGCAGAGAGCACTTCAAAACAAAACCCCGTTGGCGGGTGAGGCACTTATTTGGGATTATTTGAAGACTTTTTGAAATATATCTTTGATTTACTTTGAATATATTTTCAAAATTTTCAAATTTTGTTCAAATCCGCCCAATTCAACTTCGCGCCGCAGCCTGCTGCAGGTCCGAAGCAAACTTGAATTCAAAACTTCTCTTCAAATCTTTTCTCCTCCAGACTCTCCTCGGACTTCTCTCTTCCATCTTGCCGAAGCCTGGAGAGCCAGGCCACGCGCTGGAGGTTTGTCCGCGCCCGTTCAACATTTCTGCACTTCCCCCATTTGCTGCTGCTGCTGCTGCTGCTGCTGCTGCTGCTGCTGCGGCTGTGTTCTTAGGAGGCCCACGGCAGTCCTTATGAAGCCATTTTGAACCAAGCGCTGGAGCAAGTGAGTCGAGGCAAATCCCCTTGCTGCTGCTGCTGCTGCTGCTGCTGCTGCTGCTGCTGCAGGTCATTTTTACTTATCTGCTTCTTTTTTTGCTGCTGCGGCGCTGCGCAGGCAGAAGCAAAGGTTTCTTCGGCCCTCAAGGAAGCCACGGGAACAGACAAAATAAACAACTGTGCGTCATCTCAAAATAAATGAAATTAATTAATTAATTTAATTAAATTAAATTAAATTAAAATGAATAAATTGTTTATTTATTTAATTTATCTGCTTCGACTTCTTTTATGCGCCCCGTTGCTCTCGCCGCAGCGCTGCTCCTTCTGGCTGAGGAGAGACTCAAGAAGTTCTGGCAAGCAAAGCCTAAACCCTAAACCCTAAACCCTAAACCCTAAACCCTAGACTATAAGCCTTTAGCCCAAAACCGTAGACGCTTTCCCTAAACCCTACTCTTCGAACCCTAGATCCTAATTGAGCTTCACTTTCAGGTACATCGGCCAGTGCAGGTTTGCCTTTCTTGCGCTAAACCCTAAACCCTAAACCCTAAACCCTTGAAGAAGAGACTACAGCGCTGTTTGCCCCCTCGACTGGGTAGAGGCCGAGGAGCCCAAAGGCAAGCCTAAATCCTAGCTTCCAAATAAACCCTACATACATACACAAATAAATAAATGAATAAATAAATAAATAAATAAATAAATAAATAAATAAACTTAATAAATAAATATATATATATAAATAAATTCCAAGAGCTACCTGCTGCTGCTTCCAGGCCTCTGCATTCCGCCGGAGACCTACGAAGGCCCGTGAGTCAAAACACCCCGAAGATACGAAAACAGCACAGCAGCAGCAGCAGCAGCAACAGCAGCAGCAGCAGCAGCAGCAGCGGCTTTCTTTCTTCCGTTTTCTTTCGGCGGCAGGCAGCAGCTGAGCGCCCCACAAGTGGAATTGAAAGAATGAACAAGGAGCTGAATAAATGATTTGTTTTATTTATTTATTTATTTTTATTTATTTATTGTTGTTTGTTTATTTTTATTTATTTATTTGCTGCTGCAGCTGCCGCTCCTCCGTGCTGCTGTCGGCGCCGGCGCTGCAGAAGGAAGACTTCGCGTGGCGCTGCCGGGCGCAGTGGCCTTGTCTGGGAAGTGGGAAAATAAAGAAAAAAAGAGAAATAAAATGAAAAATAAAAGAATAAAAATGAAAAATAAATTCAGAAAATTAAAAATAAATTAAAAAGGAGAAAAAGAAACTCCAAATTGTCGCTTTCTGAAAAATGTGAATTCCGAGGTGTCGAGACACCCCGCCGCTCACACCGCGAGCGCTTCTGGCGTTTTGCAAAATCGAATCGGAAATGAATAAATAAACATTTAATTAAACAATTAATGAACAACTAAATAATAAAATAATGATTATTTCTTTTTTTATTCTTTTGTTGCTTCTTTTTTTTCATTTTCTCCTCTTCTTCGCCGCAGGCCCCCCCAGGGACCTCAACGCCAACTGTCCAGACACCTGGGCCTTCATCAAAGGCGGTGTATGTACAGCTCCCTTCGTAAGACCTCCAAACCCTAAACCCTAAATCCTAAACTTAAAACCCTAAACCCTAGACCCCAATTTGGGGTTTAGGGTTTAGCTCGCTACCTGGATTATTCGCTCATTCGGGGCCTCTAGTTGCAGCGAAGACAAATAAATAAAATAAATAAATAAATAAATAAATAGCAGTGAAGGTGATTGTTTGTTTATTTTTATTTATTTATTTATTTATTTATTTATTTATTTATTTATTTATTTATGCTCCCAGAACTACAGGGGCCCCTGCAGCCCCTTTATGGACTTCTCGGGGCACTCCCCAGAAGACAAACTCAGGTGCGCCAAACCCTAAACCCTAAACCCTAAACCCTAAACCCTAAACCCTAGAGCTTGACCCTTAACCCTAAGCCCTAAACCCTAAACCCTAAACCCTAGAGCTGGAACGTCCAGTATGCGCTTGACTCCTGCAGATGGGCAGGAGAATGTAGGCCGCAGCTTCCCGGAACAGAACTGCAAACCCTAAACCCTAAACCCTAAACCCTAGGCGACGCGCCCTGGGCTGCTGCTGCTGCCCCCAAGAAAGCCGCGGGGGGGCCCCTGCTGGGGCGGGTGCGGCAGCGGAGGCCCTTGGGGGGCCCCCTGAGGGAGGTGAGTTTGTTTGCTAGGGTTTAGGGTTTAGGGTTTAGGGTTTAGGGTTTGCCTCCAGGACGGAACGCTGCAGCCAGTGCCGCGCTAAACCCTCGGCCATCTGCCACTTTGGCTTTCTGCGCAAAAACCTGCGTGGCTCAAGGCGCTTGCTAGGGTTTAGGGTTTAGGGTTTAGCGTCTAGGGTTTAGGGTCTAGCTTGCGCTACCAAAACAAAGCTTGGACTTGGCGCCGTCCGACCTTAGGGTTTAGGGTTTAGGGTTTAGGGTTTAGAACCTTGGGTTCACCTACGGAACACCACCCGGCCTCAGCCTCTGCCTTTGAACAAACCAAACCTCAAACCCTAAACCCTAAACCCTAAACCCTAAGTCCTAGAATAAAACATTGAACGCTGTGTTGATCAGAAAGCTGATGATTTTGGCACTTGCTGCTGCTGCAGCGCTCCCCACAGCAGCAGCAGCAGCAGCAGCAGCACGACCAGCATCTGCGTTTGCTGCTGCTGCTGTTCGTATTAGCTGCCGACAAATACCTACGCGGTATCTGCTGCAGCTGCTGCTGCAGCTGCTGCAGCAGCTGCTTCTGATGCTCGCTCAAGCTGCCCATGAGCGCCATTGCACGCTGCCGCCATCTGCTGCTGCTGCTGCTGCTGCTGCTGCTG